AATAAGTTATGTATCAAACCATCAACTAAAAGAACATTAGTAATAGAAGGAAGTTTACCATTACCAACAGTTCCAGAGCCAATGATTTTACCCTTCTGGTTTTCTCCAAAACCGACGAAGCCTCCAGGCTTAAGTTCCAGATTTTGGAACATATGCCTTCTTCCTGTCATGTGTCATGAGGAACCACTGTCCAGGTACCATGTTTGGTGTTTCAGCTGAGCTGCTAAGGATATCTGCAACATTGATAGTCTTATCCTTAGGTACCCACTTTCTGGGCCGTCTTTTGTTAGTTTTCCCAGAGTATTTAATAACCTTGGGCTTATGTGCAACAAGATAATCAAGTGGAATTTGTGCATTCTATTTAGAAATAAATTTTTGTGTCTGTGAAGGTGCTTTCACATGCTCAAAACAATCAAGCTCAGTGTCAGAAGGTACAAAATGATCATAGAGAGGTTTTGGTTTTACAGGTTGACTTTCTTCATATTCAAATGATTTTGTACACCCAAACCTTTTTTTTTTACCATTTTTTCTAACTCCATAGATCATTGAAACAATCTTACTTCTATCTATGCTTTTAGCTAGAAAGTGATGGAATCCTCTATCATACTTATTGACATAACAAGTATTAGAGACTAATTCTTCTTCTAGTTTAGAAACTTTGCTTTTTAAGGCATAATTACTATTTTTTAAAGAAAAAATATTTTCATTCAAAGAAGAATTATTATTTTCAAGCTTATCTCTGGCTTTAGAAGAGCTTGATATTTTTCCAACATTTCTAAAAGACAAGACTCTAATTCACAATGAGAGAGTTTAGATAATACCTCGAGTTTGAGTTTGAGTTTGATTCTGATTCTGATTTGTCTTCTGGTCCTTCAGAGACCTCAGTATTAACTGATTTTGCCACTAGCACAACATTTTTCTGTTCTTCATCAGATTCTTCTTCTTCTTTAGAATCAGAGTCGTCCCAAGTTGCCATGAGTCCCTTCTTGACTTTGGTGAGTTCTTCTTTGACTTCTTATCTTTAAGCTTTGGACAATCATTCTTATAATTCCCTGCTCATTACACTTATAGCAAATGACTTATTTTCCAGAGCTCTGCTTCTTCTGTCTAGACGATGAGTCAACACGACTTTTATTTCTTCTTAATCCTCTAAACTTCCCTTACCTATTTTTCCAGAGTTTGTTGACCCTTCTGGAGATAAGTGATAGCTCTTCTTCTGAGTCTTCATCAGAATCTTCTGATTATTCCTCAGCTTGATAAGCCTTTTCCTTTTCAGGTTTAGACTTAAGAGTAATAGATTTATTCTTCCTTTGAGGTTAATCTTGCTCCAACTCTACCTCATGACTTCTTAAAAAACTAATGAGTTCTTCAAGACTTATACTATTTAGATCCTTGGATAGTTTGAGAGCAATTACCATAGGTCTCCATTTCTTGGGAAGGCTTATGATGATATTTTTGACATGATCAACAATTGAGTATCCTTTGTCCAGAACTTTAAGTCTTGCGACTAGTATTTTCAATCTTGAAAGCATATTCTCAATTGTTTCATCATCCTCCATTCTGAATGCCTCATATTTCTGAATTAAGGCAAGCACCTTTGTTTCCTTAACTGGAGCATTTCCTTCATGGGTCATTCTTAGAGAATCAAAAATAGACTTAGCAGTATCTCTGTTTGTTATATTCTTATACTCAGTATAAGAAATAACATTCAGCAGTATAGTTCTTGCCTTGTGATGATTCTTGTAATCTTTCTTTTGTTGGTTGGTCATAGCACTTCTTGATACGTTTACTCAGTCAGCATTAACTGGATGAGTATAGCCATCAACTATGAGATCACAAAGATCTACGTCATAAACAAGAAAGAAAATTTCAAATCTATCTTTCTAGTAGTCAAACTTTTCACCATCAAAGAGTGGTAGTTTTGCACTATAATGATCTTTCTAATCTTGAATATGATTAACATTAGCTACAACCATGATACCTCACACAAATACTGGATCGGTACTGAACACAGTGAGGTGTTGATAAAACATTTATCACACTCAGAAACGAAGCACCGGTGCCAATTGAAGGTGTGAGAAAACATAAGAAAGGGGGGGGGGGTTGAATTGGGTTTTCAAAAATGAAAGCTTTTTGTGAAACTCAAACAAAGATCACAAATAGACTAATCAAGAAATAAAGACACACGATATATCCTGGTTTACTTGGAAACTACCAAGCTAATCCAGTCCACCCACCAAGGTGATTTCGCCTTAACACAAGGACTTAATCTTCTATAATCAACAGATTACAATGCACTAGCAACCGCTGGTGACTAACAACTCAGACAACTGTCTCTTCTTAAGGATTCTGATCCAACTGGTCCCTTAAAGAAATACAAACTGCACAAGCAACCGCTGGTGACTAACAACAAAGATTAACCATCTCTTCTTAAGAATACAGACCTAGCCGTTCCCTTAAGGAGTTACAAACAACAGTTTGAACAGAGATGTTTACAATGAAATTGCTTCTAATCAAGCATATATAAACACTATTAGTAGATCAAATGTCTTTAAAACACTTATATAGTATGAACAATATTCTTTCTTTGTATTGTGGTGCTTCAATACTGTAGCTTCAGTTCTTCATAGGTTGCTTTCAATCAAAGGGTGACATTTGTATTAATCGTTGTAAAGCTTTTTAATTTCTTCAAGTAATCAATTCCTTATATAGCCAGAAAAAGATTCGTTGGAGGGTAGATCAGGAATATCCTTTAGGTAGTCGCCGACTTGAACGGTTACTAGAAAACCGGATATGCGTCAAGCCTATGGAAAACGATAACGAGTAATGAGAATCACTACGCTAGTCACACTATCAATTTGATTTAGCTCACTGCTTGGTATGACTAGTTCCAATGCCTTAAAATATTACCACACTAAATGGACAACTCACAAGGATTTGGGTTCAAACAATTTATCAAACACTTGGCGTGCGGAGCACTACAAGTGAGTTCCGCTTTGAGTGAGTTGCTCTAGTTTCCTTGTACAATCAACGATTGTACTAGAGTCAAAATCAGTTCAACACTTACTCAAACCAGTCATATATTTGATATAATTGTTTGCACTAAAACCACACAAATATTAAGCAATGTAAAAGCGTAAGGTAAAAGGCACAAGGATTTGTTGAGGCAGTTCCCCCGCCGTCCTCGCTTCGGGGTACGTCTGCCCTCAATTCTAACAATAGAATTGAGCTCTTATAGTATAAATTTACCCTGTTGTAGAATCGGATATACAAGAATTGAATGACAATCAAACAAACGAACACCCTAGTTATTGTAGATGCTATCTCCTCTTACCCCTTGATTTGAGTCAAATCAAGTCATTCGACAACTTGTGAATGAACCTCCGATTACAGCTCTATGTTTGAAAAACCTTCCGTCTTCAAACCCCAGCCCGGCTGATCTCAAACACTCATGTGTCGAACCCGAACCTCTCCTTCACAATCCTCTAATTACCGCTACTAGATCGACGGAACCCACCGCACCTCGATCACCTTCACTCGGCTGAATATGTGTTGAGAAGACTCGTGCAAAAACCCCTAAGTTTAGATAATCTTGGAGGACAAAACCCTAGAGGTTTTATTCAAGAAAAACCTGTCAATTCCTCAACCCGAACCGGATTACCCAATCAGCGGCTTCGAACGTTATCACTTCTAATAATGCATAATGCACAACAAAGATTATTGTGTGTGATTGTTGTGGTATGAAATGTAGAAGATGAAGATGATGAGAACTTGAATTAACACATTTTTCACTTTTCTTGTTTTTCTAATTGATTCAATTGATATGAAATGAAAAGAGCAACTAAATATTTATACCAGACAAAACTGTTATAACTGATAAAACACCTTTCAAAAATAATAGACAAATCAGGAAATATGCAACAAACAGCGAGCGGTCGACCCATGCAGAGTGCAGGGTCGACCTGAGCTAACCCGAGGAAAACAAATTGTGCAAAACAAACAACTATGTGTCGACCGGAGCAAGACATGCGTCGACGCATAGCCTGAATTCTTAGACAAATAAAAATGCCAACAATATGCGTCGACCGATGGATCGACCATACCTAACCCGAGGAAAATGCAGTTTTAGGACACACATTATGAGTCGACCAGAGCAGAGGTTTGGTCGACTCAAAGACCTGCAATTTCAGAAAATGCCTAATTTCATATTTTTGATTCTCTTAGATGATACCTATGATAGGCCAATTGAGTTTAACTCGTATGACGCATATTTTGACACTCTAAATGCAGTACTCGAGATATTTTGTGCAAGCAAATAAAACATGAGAACTAATGTATGCTCATGCATCTCGGTGATAACGCAAAATATCAATTCTTCCATGCGGCTAAATTTTGACATCATCGAAACACGCATATCTAGTATCTGAGGCTTTTCCCTCACAATATTTAATTAAATCAATTTTTTAATAAAATTTTTTTTCAAAATTAAATTATATTATAAATAATAAAATAAAATCAATATAAAAAATTTCATTCATATTTTTTAAATATTTTAAATAATAAATAATTATTAAATTATTAAAATATTAATCATATATTTAATATTTTAAATTATCAAAACTAAATAAAAAACTAAATAATAAAATAAATAATGAAATAAATCGAGCAGGTTTGAAATAGGTACTCCGGTCTTATATTTTATAATCACACAAAATTTAACTCAAATCTATACTCAATCAAAAAGATTTTTTCCATCAAAATCGAAACGAATTCAAATAAACCCTCATGAATACGGATTATATTGTCATACAAACATGTTTAGGCCATTCTAATATTATTCAATGTTAGACTATTAATATAATTAATATTTAAAATTAATATTCACCACTTATCTAGGTAAATTTACACCATGTAGGACCAGTGATCATTGAATACTACCAAATTACCAACAGTAGTTTAACATGCAGAGAGCATCCACGTGAAAACCCAGGGCTTTCCGTTTAGTCAAAAGTCAAACCTAAAGGACCCACTAAAAGCAACAAGATGATGAACTGCCACAAAATAACAAACAACAATAACATGAACCACTGATGCATTTTCCATGATCGACATAAACCTAAACCCTCAATTTTCTGCCAAATTTTTCCTTTCAACTTGCCTACAAGAAAAAAACTAATCTTCAAACAAACCTATTTTTAAACTATTAACAGAATTTACAGTGCGAGTAATAATTACCTGAAGAAGCAAAACGCGGTGAAAACGTAACCGAAGGAAAGTTTTGAAGAACAAGATGTGTTTGTGTCAGTGAGAAAGAAAGAACCAAAGGAAACGACACGGACACGCAATTCGTTGTGTTGTTAGGTTTATGTAACTCTGTGCTTATTGCCTTGCCCTGCATCCAAACACAAACACTGCACCTCTTGTGACTTACTTGTGTCTTTACTCTCCTCTATTTTCATTCCCATGTGATGTGAGAAATCAATATCATTAGTCAAACGTTATCTCTTTTTTCACCTGCCACGTGTAACCCACCTTGAACCACAGACATATGATACAAATTGGATTTTGTGCAATTTGCACCATTCCTCTAATCAATATATTTTGGAACAAATTAAAATTTATCTCTTTAATATATACCCTGTCGCTTGAAAAAAAACGACTTGTCCATGAAAAGATTTTTTTATTTTTTCACATTCGTGCCGTACGTCAAAATTAACATTTGATTTTTACAATTTTTACATTCAAATATTTATCGCTCAATTCTCTAAGTTGAGTTGAAGCTTTTTCGAACTAAAAATTCATATCTCTTAAATTTGAATTATAGGTTTCTCATTTCACATAGAAGAAAGTTTGCACCATACAAATCTAAAGAGCAATACAGTATAAGAGGTTGTTTTTCGAAGGAATCAAACTGTCTTTTCCGAATTGACAATATTTTAATGAGAAGCAGTCACACTTCAGAGTTACGATGGAAGTGAGTTAAGAATTGTAATATGTATAAACTTGTGATGATTCTATTCATCACTAACATACACATATATAATGATGAGAAGGGAGAACATGATCATATAATTAAGCTAATATTTATGACTATGCACTGAATATGAAAACATAATATTCTAGCCTATAGTTAGAACATAAATGTTATTGATTATACATGAAATAATAGGGACATGATGCTGATATTAAGAAATCATGTTTCTAATTCCCACCTTCAAACTGGTGGTGAGTGGATAACACCAAGTTTGTCTCTGAGTTGGCTAAAACGTGTGTGACTTAATGGCTTGGTGAAGCAGTTTGCAATTTTATCAGTTGTAGGAACATAGGCCACAACAACTTTATTTTGTAATACTTGATCTATGATATAGTGAATATCAATTCAATGTGTTTGGAGCGAGCATGGAGGGCAGGATTTGAGGCTAGTGCCTTGGCACTTAAGTTATCACACCACAGTATGGGTTTCCTTGGAAGTGGGAGTTTAAGTTCAGCAAGGAATGAATGAAACCATGCTATTTCAGTAGCTAGGTTAGCTAGGGCTCTGTATTCTGACTCAGTGCTTGATCTTGATACCACTTTTTGCTTCCTTGATGACCAAGAAACAAGTGTTTCACCAAGGAACACACTTTGACCAACTATGGATTTCCTGTCATCAACACTAGTGGTCCAGTCTGCATCAGAGAAGCCATGAATGTCCAAATCAGTGGATGACTTGATGTGTAAGCAATGATTTATGGTGCCTAGGAGATACCTAAAGATTATTTTTATGCCTTGCCAGTGTTCAAGTGTTGGCGAGCTCATGTATTGGTTGAGTTTGTTAACGAAGAATGCTAGACCAGGTCTTGTGTGAGTCAAGTATTGTATGACACATACGACTTGTCTAAGCACAGTTGGTCAACTAGTTTATCTCCTTCAACTATGAACTGCCTACCTGTTATCATAGGTGTGCGACATGGTGAGGCTTTGTCCATCTTGAATTTACTCAGTAAGTCATTGATGTACTTATATTGTTTGAGATACATTCCACTGGTATCTCTTTTGACTTCTATGCCCAGAAAGTAGTGTAGATGACCCAAGTCGTTGAGAGAGAATACATCATTAAGCTGAGTAATGAAAGCTTGAAGGAACTTGGTGTTGCTTTCTGTAATTATTATGTAATCCACATAGATAGGCAGAAAAGTAATGTGATATTACCTTTTAGAAGGAAAAGAAAGGAATCACTCTTTGTGTTTTGAAAGCCCCACTTCAGTAATGCAGCCTTGAGACTATCAAACCAAACTCTTGGTGCTTGCTTCAGTCTATAGATTGCTTTAGATATCCTGCATATGTGATTAGGCCTGGTTGGATCAACAAATCCTTCAGGTTGATGTATGAACACTGTTTCCTTGAGATATCCATTTAGGAAAACATTGTTAATGTCTAGTTGCATGACTTCCCAGTTGAAATGGATTGCAATTGGAAGGATGATTTTGACAGTGCTAACTTTGACTACAGGGCTGAAGGTTTCTTCGTAATCAATGCCATTTGTTTGTTGAAATCCTTTGACAACTAGCCTAACGTTTCTCCTTTCTATGGTACCATTTGACTTATATTTGGTCTTGAAGACCCATTTTGAGTTAACTATGGTTTCTTCATCTTGATAAGGGACTAGTGTCCAAGTTTTGTTAAACATGAGTGCTTGAAACTCCTTTTGCATTGCTTCCTTCCACAAGGGCCTTGTGAGAGCATCCTTAGCATTTGTAGGTTCCACTGTATCTTTGTAGGTTTCAGCTAAACCAATGTAAGGAAGATTGGGCTTGTGAATTCCTGAATTGCTTCTGGTTTGTATGATGCCTCCATTTCTTGCTTCACCTGTACTTTATTGGGTTATGTCAGGTTGTGTCTTTGGATGAGTTGCATCATTTAGTACAATATCTTCAGACTGTCTTGTGATATTGTTGTCAACTTCTGTGGAATTGTTGTCAACTTGTGATTGTTGCTTAATTGTGAGTCAGCTGAGTTCACTTCATCTGAGATTTCTCCTTCAGAGACTGCATTAGTAATAGATTACCTGCAGGGCACAAGGGAAAAGAGAATGATGGATTGTTAGTTATTTTTAGAGGACCTCTTGTATTGAGAAATCCATCATGAAATGGGAAGTGATTTTCATTGAAGATAACATGTCTTGATATGAAGATCCTGCCATGGGAATTGAGACATGTATACCCTTTGTGAGAGTTACTATAGCCTAAGAACATACATCTGATTATATGAAATTGAAGCTTGTGTTGATTTTAGGGTTTGAGGCATGGATAACAAGCACAACCAAAGGGTTTCAAGAGTTTATAGTCATGTTCCTTATGAAGCATGAGTGAGTAGGGGGTCTCATTTTGGGTAACTTTAGATGGCAGTCTGTTTATAAGGTATAATGCAGTGGAGAATGCTTCCCACTAATACTAGAATGGCATTTGAGCTTATGCAAGCAGAGTTAAACTAAACTCAGCTATGTATCAGTGTTTCCTCTCAGGTCTTCCATTTTTATGAGAGGTATAAGGACAAGACATTCTAAAACCTATGTCAGCTTCTATTGCAAGTATCTGCACAGGTTTGTATTCACCACCACCATCACACTGAATTACTTTGATTCTCTTATTATGTTGATTTTCAGTCAAGGCTTTAAATTAAATTAAAGCTTGCACATTTTCATACTTTTGTTTTAAAGGATGAATCCAAGTGAACGTACTAAAATCATCAACAAAATGCACATAATATTGGAAACAGAAGATGACATTATTGGTGCAGGGCCCCATACATCAGCGTGAACCAACTCAAGTGGTTCCTTAGAATGAAATGAAGAAGACTTAAAGGGTAAGAGGTGCATTTTTCCATATTGACAAGCCTCATAAAAACTAAAGTGATCACTAGGTGATACTTTGACATTATGATTTTTTAAGACTTTGTCTAACGTGTTGTTGTTTGGGTGACCAAGTCTCCTATTCCAGCTCTCCCTGACAGATATATAAGCACTTAAGATCCTTTCAATTCCTAAGAGATGGTATAATCAATGTTTAAGTATTCCTTTTAGTACTACCTTCCCTGTCAACTTGTCTTTCACAAAACAATAATTCTTATAAAACTCAACAAGAATGTTATTGTCAGCAGCCAATTTAGATACACTTAATAGATTTTTGGTAATGTTAGGGACATATAATATATCATGTAGATTATGTGACTTGAGTTTGGAAGAGCATGTGGCTATAATTTCTAGTTGCTCACCATTGCCAATAATCAGAGAGTTCTTACCATGGTGTTCATTTATTTCTTGGAATTTTTCAGTTTGATGTGTCACGTGATTTCTTGCTCCATTGTCAAAGTACCAGTCATATTCTTGATTGGTTCCTTGTGATGTTAGGAATACAAATTTCTCTTCCTCTTCTACTAAGTGATTTGATCATGAGTAGGTTTTATCAAACCTATAGAAGCACTACACTGCTGTGTGACCAGTCTTTAAGCATACTTGACAGGTAGGTTTAGAGAACCTGCCTCTACCTCTGCCTCATCTCCAACCTCTCGAGTTGGAGCCTTTCCACTTTCCATTTGATCCATGGAAGCCAAGTCTATTGTTTCTCTAGTTTCCTTTGTAATCAGTCTTTTTTGTAACATTTGCTGAGGCATTGAGACATAGAATGTTAAAGGAATTGAGCATTTGTAGAGAACCGAATGGGCATTTGTAGCATGTAGAGTGTTAGAACACAGATTGGTTCTTAATAATATCTCTATGTTTTGATGATAACTATTATGAAATTTTGTAATTAAGAATTATATACTCTAAAATTTGCTTGAGAGTGTTTGCTGCAGATATTAAATTAATTATCACTCCAGAAGCAAATCAGAACTGAACATAAGAAATATGCTAGACTCTGAAGCGCCAGATGCATCCATTAGAAGATTTTGAATGCTGTCAACAGAAGATCCTGAGCGTAGCCTCCAGAAGAATCTGAAGCAGAAGCTCCAGAAGGATGTGAAGCAGAAGCTCCAGAAGAATCTGAAGCAAGTCAGAAGCATCTGAACCAAAGAAGAATTCTGTATGAAGAGTTTTCAAAGCATAGTTACTACAGAAGATTCTGAAAGTACTAAAGCTGTCAGTACTGAGGATCTGACTCAAATATGCTCTGAACTTATACACGCTAAAAGCACACTTGCTGCAAAGACTCTGATTCAGCAAAACTCTAATCAACATCAGAAGGCTCTGATCAAATTAGACTCTGATGATTCTTGCTGAAAATTGATGAAGAAGAATTCAAAGATTATGTCCGTTGGAATAATCCAAACGACTCTTTCCTTATTTATGCTAGACACAAGAACACAGACAAAAAGGATTTCTCTGTGCTTTCTTCTTCTAGGAAAGGTCACTTGATTTGA